AAAAAAAAAAAGCACCCAAAAAGGGTTATTCTTGCAAAATATATGTTGGCAACGGTCAAATTGGAAGTTGACCGTTGCCAATGGTCAAATGGATTTTTTTTTTAAAAAAATTTAGAAAATATTTGTTGAATCGGTCCGGACCGGGCCGGTTAACCGATTCAACAGTGTTTTTCCTTGATCGGGTTTGACCGATCCGATTAACCAGTAAGAAAAATATAAACGTCCCAACCCCCTAAACTCCCAAACCCAATCCTACCCGCCCTCCTACCATCGGTCCGGGTTAATATCAATCTGGGCCGGTTCGAAAATGAGTCAACCCAGCCCGTTAAACACATTTACTCGCGCATAATGTGAAGTTATTGTACCATGCTGCCCTTTTTATGATCTCATGATTAAATAGTGTACACTTTACAAGAATGAAGCTTATCCATTTAAGTGGAAGTTGCTTTCATATCTTAACTTTTGTGTTTCAGATTTTAAAACGATAGTTGATTTCCTGTGCTATGCTTTTTTGCCGTTGGGATAGGACACAATAAGATCTCGTATATAGTAACACTAAGCTCGTATTTATGCAGATAGTAATTAATGCTTTCACAATTTTACTTATTTTGTGTTGCTTACAATCAGGATGAATTTAACACCCTTAGCTAAAAAATTATACTTTTTCTCTCCACGCTTATAATATAGTAATACAAATTACTTTTTTAACATTATTTGATTAGTACTTGGTTCATAATATTAGTTTGACTAGTGCATTAATTAAATAAAATTGGAACAAAATATGATACTCCTAATAATGATTGAAAAAAATTAAATTTATAGGGAGAAAATTCACGTGAAATTATTAGTAGGAAAATTGTATAAGCTCAATATAACGATGATATCAAACATTTTAAATTTTCTTGTAATAGAAGGGTGTCACATGATATTGGAGTTATCATTTTAAATTTCTCGTGATAGTAATTAATGCTTGCACAATTTTTACTTATCTTGTGTTGCTTTATTAGGGATGAATATAACACTCTTAGCCAAAAAATTATATTGTTTCTTAATGAAATTCCTCTCTGTGCTTAATTAAAATTATAATTACTTTTTTTCACTATTTAAGTATGGGGTTCATAATATTGTATGACAAGTGCATTAAATAAATAATATTGGAATAAAATATTATACTCCTAATAATGATTGAAAAAAATCAAATTTATAGAGAAAAAAAATCACGTGAAAATATTAATACGAAAGTTGTATAGGCTCAATAGAACAATGATATCAAACATTTTAAATTTCTCGTAATAGAAAAATGTCATATAAAATTGGAGCTATTATCTTTAGCTCATACGTACTAATACTTTTTTTTTTCTTTTTTCCGAGCTATAAATCAATAATAAAAATTTCCTTATAATAAACCATCTCTTTTTTGACTAGTACTAGTAATAGGGACAGCGAACCTAGATGAGAAATTACACAAAAACCCATCTTCTTCAACACGAGCTCCATCATCAAAATTCAAAGCATAACTTTGAGCATCATATTGAAATTGGGTTTTATTTGATTTCTTCAATTTGCAGTATATTCCAATTTTCTTTACCAAATTCTTCATAATCTTGATCTTTTTTACTAGCCATGACTCTTTTTGCTCTAGCAAAGACCTGCTGTAAATTTCATGGGCTTGGACCCAATTGAAGCTAGAAAACTTTAAACAATCACACGACCCACACCCAGTTGGAGAAGATGACGAATAGTCTTCGTAAATATTGCCATTTTTGTGGCCTTCTTGTTTGTGCTCTGCTATGGGAGTATAACTATTCATGATATTGAATGGATAGGATTCTTGCTCTGACGGGAGGTTTTGGTTTCGAACCCTGGTTATAAAAAAAAATTCCGTTAGAAAGCGCTTTCCCTGTAGGATTCTTGGCTTTTAACAAGAGGTCTTGGTTTTTGAACTC